CTCCACATAAACTGTTTATGAAAGGATTATTTTTCAAAATTTAATTAAAAAACGATAATATTTATAACGGGAAAAAATTTCCAGTTAATTATTGTTAATAGGGGGTAAAGTAATGTAACATAAGGTAACATTTGGAGACTAAATTATTGAAAATTTTTAGGGATTGGAAAGGGACCCCAAAATCTGCGATCAGTGTGTACGGCTACGTACACTGATCCTCAGTATTTTGGGGAAATGAGTTGTTAAGACAATTATATAAGAGTGTTTTTGAAAGAAAAACCTGGTTATTAAGGCACTCAAGTTGTGTGTTATTTTTTTATAAATTTATCTACTTCATAGCTCTCTAGGAGTTCAAGTTTGTGACCTTTATTCTGTTTATGTAATAGTGTCACGTTGTTTTCAATATCAAAAGTGTGATTATGTAAAGAGAGGTGTTTACAGAAAGTAGAGTTAGGTTTTATTAAATGTTCTCTGATTCTTGTTCTTAGGGCTCTCCCTGTTTCGCCAGTATATAGGTTGTTCCGTATCTTCCGCATCAGGGCATTATACGGTTGTAGAATATATTATTCTGAAGCGATTTTTCTAATAAATTTTTTTCGAAATGTTTATAATAACCGTACGGGAACTGTTTAACGACATCCAATAGTAGATCGTAAATCAGATTCAAGTAATCGGCCCCACCCTCGGCCGGTCCGGTGTACTCACCAATAGATTCGACACGGAAAGAGAAATAAACTTTTTCTGTGAATTCGTGAATCCGCTATTGGACATTTTTAAATAGTTCCAGTGCGCTTATTATAAACATTTCGAAAAAAATTAATTAGAACAATCGCTTCAGAATAATGTATCCCACAACCTTATAATGCTCTGATGCGGAAGATACGGGACACCTGTATGTCAATGTTTATTTATTTGTAAAAAAAAGTTTTTGGACAGACGTCGTACGAAATACATATGTATACTTCAACAATGAGTATCTAATACAGTAATTAACTAATACAGTTCGGTCATTCGGTAGGTATTACTTAAAAATTCTTCTACCGAGTAAAAGGCCTCAGACACTGAAAAGTGTTTAACATGATTTTTAAAACGCTCATGTTCTTTATGCAATCCGGTAGTTTGTTATAAAGTTTTGTACCCTGGTAGTCCACACCTCACTGGATACTCGTGATGTACGGAGTTTATGTTATAGAGATGTTCTTTACATGATTCTAAATTTTTTAGATTACACAAAGCACGGATACAACTCTTTTGTAGCTTAAACACCTGTTGATTCCCGGACCTGAACCCCAAATGGAGATGCCATATGAGGTCACTGCATGAAAACAAGAGAAATATGCTGCTCTTACTACTTCATGTTCGGTACACTTCACCAATCTTCGCACCATAAAAACTGCACTCGCGAGTCTTCTACAAAGGGCACTCATATGGTCGTCCCAGGTGAGACGATTGTTCAACGTCAAGCCAAGAAAGTTCACCACGTTATCGTTTCCTTTCGTGAGAAAGTTAATTTTTTGATTCTTTTTATCATTGAGCATGAGCTTGTTCGCTCGCAACCAATCAGACGCGTCTTCTAAGACATCGTTAGTTCTCAATTGTGTTTCTTCTCTCGATTTCTCCTTTACTACGAAAGACGTATCATCCGTATATAGATACGTTTCTGAGTTTTTTATGTTTCGAGGAAGATCGTGCATAAACAGTATAAATAAGATGGGTTCCAGGATTGATCCTTGGGGTACACCGTATCTATTGTTTTTCACATCGGATATTAAACCATTCCAAGCGACATATATTGTGTTCTGTTACTCAGATACGATTTCATTAGACTTAATGTTAATCCCCTTACGCCGTAAAAGGAGAGCTTATACAGCGATAGATTACGGTCCACCTTGTCAAAAGCTTTGGTGAGGTCGCAACAGGTTATTTTCACGCTTTCCCGATTGTCATGAGCTTCCGTGGCATCGCGTATCATTCGGGTAACAGCTGTGATCGTCGATCTTCCGGTCCTGTAACCATGTTGGTTATCGTCAAATATTTTATTTTTTTGCATGTGGCTCCACATGTGTTGCAGTCAAGTTTATAAACACCGTTTTATTCCAACAAGTCAAACCTATCTTTAGCATTATGTAACAGTTTTTGTAGTGCAATTATTTTTATACGATATGTTGATTCCCGTATCTTTTGAAAATATTTGTAATGTTATAAGCAATTTTACCGTGGAAAGTGATTGATTTATAAATGTTAATGTTTTGAGTGAATGGATGAAGACCAGATTGTTTCAAAATGAATTTATTAATGAAATTGTTCATTTGGGATAATGGAAAACCTATATCTTTAATAATATTTCTTTCTGTGTTCCTATCTTCATCTGAAAGGGGAGTGTTGAAACATCTGTATAGATAAGGTTTGAAAGCTGCTAATTTATGTGTGTTAATATGGTGCGAGTTGTATGGAATTATGGTGTCTGTTTTTGTTTGGTTTTCTATATATTTTAAATTCAATTAAATAATCAGTATGTATATTAATTAAGGTGAGATCTAAGAAGTTTAGTTGTTTATGTTTTCAATTTCTAAGGTAAATTTAAGTTTGTTATCTAGGTTATTTATATATTTATTTGTGAAAATATATAAATTTTGCGAAACTAACTTTTGTAAACGTTATCAATCATATTTATGCCATCATCATTCCAAACTATTAAAATGTCATCAACATATCTACAGCATAGTACTATATTATTATTAATTAAATTATCTATGTGTAAAATTGTGCCGTCTATGTTATTAAGGAATATGTCAGAGAGGAAACCACTTAATCGGGATCCCATTGGAAGACCCTCATTGTATTTGTAAAATTTGTCATTGAATTGGCAAAAATATTGTTCTGTGCATATTTTAAATAGATTGAGTATATTATGTATCTTTTATGACATTTTTGACTATATTTAGTGTTTCAGTTACTGGAATGTTGCTTTGGGTTGGTGAAGTTTTTAGGTAAACGTAAAGTTTTTAAGGTGTTTATAAGTTCATATTGTTAATAGCAAAGTCAGCTTTGAAATTAATAGTATTTTTAAAAAATTGGATTAAGAATTCGCAAATTCCGTATGTACTTCAATGTATAGAAGATATGATGGGTCTAATCGGAAAATTGTTTTTATATAATTTGATAAGTGAATAAACCAGAGGAGTTTTTGGATTCATTGGTAGAATATGAAAAGGATTGGCATTAATTTCTTTTAAAAACTTTTCTGCGTCTTTTACTACTGTCTTATTAGTCTTATAGTGAAAAGAATTTTTAGGATTTCTGTTCATTTCAATGAAACTGTTTTCGTCAAAAAATGTTGAAGTTTTTGAGATGTATAAATGTTTTTCTAAAATGACTAGACCTGCATTTTTATCTGCGTTTGTGACAATGACGGAGTTAGTTTTTATTTTATTCTTTATCTTACGTAATGTCTTGTTCTCTTTTTATCCAATGTTTGTTATGAATATTAAGTAGTTCCATGAGATCTTTCCTCAAGCTGTCTTCCTCTGGCAATCCATTTATGTTGTTTTCTAATTCTATGGCTAGTGTGGGTAGGTTTACTTGACTTGTTGGAATGGAGTATTTATGTCCCTTATTGGGAAGGTCTTTTTTTTTTTAACTTTTCATAATGACAAGTAACTTAACTTTATTAGTAGTAATTTATAACAAAAAAATCTTACATTCATTAATTGTACCGCTTCTGAAGATGACCTGTAAGGTCCGTAACATGTAAATTAGATTTAAATAGAATAGAATAGAATAGAGAATGTAAATAGATTTTTATCAATAATTAAACCAGTACGAAAGTACAAAAAATTCAATCACTGATATTTTTATAAAAAAAATTAAAATTTTAAGAACTAGAGGCTGAGGAAAAAGCAGTGAGACAGTTGTGATACACTAATGGAGGCCATACACCATAGGGTTTGCATGATGGTTTTAGCCTTACATGCACAACCGACAGGCAAACCCTAGCGTGTATATGATAAAACTAAACTGTACAGTTATTGGCGCATGTGCATGGAACCAAGCAAATATCAAAATTGATATTTTCTGCAGCTCGGTTACGTTTGCGCGCATGCATAACCAGACATGTGTGGCGTCCAGCGAGCTTGCATGTACAGTTCTCAGACTTCTCAGTGGTTCGTAATTTATTGTCTGCGACGGTGGAAGGTCGTGCGCGCGCACCATCGCACTCGTATGACAGTTTAAGACACTGGTATGTTCTTCCTGTAGCAAAAAATCTTAATGTTGCTGCCAGTCTCTCATGTGCTGATATTGCATTTCTCATAACAGTATCTTGTCTTTGTATTAACGGAGTGATCAATGATGACAGTTTCAAATAAAGATTTTTATCATTTCATAAATAATTTTTGTAATCTGTTGGTGTAAATCTCAATTCATTTAAAAAATTTACGTGAGAGAACTGCTTTCTTTTCAATAACCAGCGTTTACACCAATCCGAGCGAGCTCCTCTTCTTTTTCTATTCTGTAGAACAAGTGTTAAGCCAAGTACAGCTATCAGATCGTCGTCGTCCATTGTTAGTTTGGTATACCGTGCACAGAAGTGTAGATAACTGTCCTACACATACCATCACGTATCTCCAACTGTCTTTAACTGAGAGTTTATGGCAAAACTGTGCAAGTAAACTCTAACGTGTATGTGTATAACGTGCACAATATGAAACTCGGTTATACCTGCAAGGCTAAAACCATCATGCAAACCCTAAGGTGAATGGCCTCCATAATACTTGTGTATTATTGAACCATCAATACTTTGGTACAAATTATTTTTGTTGCTGTCGATTTTACTGGTCATAAATGTATTATTGTAATAAGTTCTAGTCTGGTATTGTAAAATGAGTATGGTCTCAGAATTGAAATAAAACCGCATCAAAACTACGCCAGTAAAAGTCAAAATGTGATGATATTCGAAAGACAGATTCTGTGATAAGGCGTTAAAATAATTACAATCGCAATAATTTTTCATTGTGTTATTAATTAATTACATATATTTGCTTACCAATCACTTTGCAATTAAAAGATTTTTGAATGAGTAGTCTTAAATTAATTGATTTTTTACAATTCCTTCTTATTCCGCCAACGTCCCCATTGGATCCCACGCCGGTAAAACGACCGGTTCCAGTTCAAAAACTTTCAACACTTCTTCATCCACAAACTTCTTATCGACAACCACTTCAAATACGAACTCTTTAAACCAATCAGCACTCATCACCAAGTAACCCTTTTCGCCCCGCTCTTCACCCCAAGAATTTTCCACTCTCAATCTTAATACTTCACCATCTTTAACATATTTTTCCTCTTTCAAATCAACGTTTGAGTCGGATTTTGGAAGATTCCGATTAATTTCTTTGTAAATCCCGGTAAAAATCATCGCGTGCGTCATCGCGCTTTCTCCATAAACCAATCTATCGGCTTTACTCATCGTTATTTGAACGTCTACGCCAAAAACTAACTCGAAATCGTGTACTTTTAAATCTTGCACACCTTGTTTTCCCGCAAATCTTTTTGTAACTTCGCATCCAAACCAAACGGGTTCGTTTTGTTCGATACTTTTTGCGGTTAAATTGAGTAACATTTCCACTTCTTGATTATTGTAAATGATTTTTTTGCCGCCAACAACATTTCCGAGACAATCTATCGTGTATGATTTATTATAAGGATTTGAAGGTCGTGGATCGGTAACCAAGCAGACCTTATTATCGAGATTAAAAATGTGTTTCACATGATTTTCATAAAATTCTTTCGGAGAAATCGGACCGACCGAATGAAACTGCTTGTTTTTATCGTAAAACGTCCAAACAAACGACTCGCTTGGAATTCCTAAACAAATTCCGACTATTCTATAAATGTTTTCCATCATATTTTCTATTGTTGCTTTAATCTCATCTTCGTTTTTATCAGAAACAATCAAATCGCGAAGCGTTTTAGCGTATTCTCTTAATTTACTTTTCAAAAGCGCGTTCATTCTTAAACTATTTTCACAACTAAACGATTCGGGAAAGTTTTTTTTCGGCATTAATCCGTGTTTCTTTACCAAATTGACAAACATATCCCATTGACCACCATCGCAAATTGGATCTTGTAGTAAAAATGACATTAATCGACCGTCAACGGCTTCTTCTCTGCGTGTAACTTCGACGACGTTGTTTAAGAAGTAATTGCAACGTTCGATTTTATCCCAAAAAAATAAATACGCTTGACTAAATTCAAAATCGTCAAGATTATAATGTTTAATAAACGGAATACGAATAACGTTTAAAGCAGCAAAAATCCAACAACGACCCGAGTTTTTTTGATTTGTAATAGGTTTGGCTTCATCTACCTAAAACAAAAATATAAAATAGAAAATTACATCTAAATGAACTAAATTATTGATTAAGTATTTCATTGATTTTAAGATGCAATTGATTGAAATATAAAAGGGATTTGTTTTTTAACTTAAATTAGTAAACGAAAATTTTTTTATTGCGCAATTATCAATTTGACCTTTATGAATTCGTAGAAGACATTGGTGCACTATGCGATCCCACGCGATCTGGGAATCCCTACCAGTTGTCAATAAGATTTCTCAAGAGAACCGTAAAGTAATGCATTCCCACCACATAGTTTTACATCAGGTTGTAACAGATACGTCTGTTAGAATAGTTTAGTGTGTTATGATAACAGACTAAACTATTGTCATTGACGTTTCAATATGATTCGGGCATATCCAAATCTTTTATCACAAATATTGTGGACGCATGAAGCATCTTTCAATAGTGCATGTGGTGTAAACTTGCATAATATGCATTTAAAGCATATTAGTTTAAGCAAAACCCACATTGGAAAAGCGCTGGTGTCAGAAAGAACTTCTTTAGATTTTTAACTATGGGATAAACTAAAAGACTTGCGTTTTCAAGAAAAACCAACAACCAGGGAAACTATGACAGAGAGAATACAAAATGCCATTAGAAACTAAGGATGTTACAGAGGTGAGTTTACCAGAACCGGAGTTTTTAGATTTGATTTATCGAAGTCGAAATCGGAGCCAGATTCGGAGACGGAACAGGAGTCGGAAGCGGAGTACAAGAGAGATGTGATAGTTAACTGTTAAGAGTAACCATAATAAAATGATAGAAACATAATACAGCAATCAATCTCTTGAAGCATTGAAATCATAAGAGAATTGACGAAGAGGTAGTGAAATCAGTATTCGATCACATCAATTCTATACCACGTATTGAGAGCCACTACGTCCGTAAAGATACAACTAGAGAATTCATAGACGGCGGATTAACAATTGCGGAAATGCACAGGAATTATTGTGAGAAAAGATCTGCTTCGAATCAACCATCAGTGTCATACGATTATTATGCTACTATCTTCAAGACAAAATTCAATATCGGATTCTTCGTTCCGAATAAAGATCAATGCGATCTTTGTGAAAGTTATAAAAATACACCAGACAATGAGAAAATGGAACTGAAACAAAAGTATGAAGAACACTTAGAAGAAAAGGAGCTTAGTCGAAAAGAGAAAGAAAGTGACAAAAGAAGAGCACAAGATGACGAAATTACATTGACTGTTTATGATTTACATATATATGTTACCGGCAATCTGTATAATCCCGTATTCTATACAATACCTAGGCAATTTATAAAATACCTAAAACGTTTAGGTAATATATGAAATATTATTAATTTTATACATTGCCTAGGTATTCTATAAAATACCGAATGCGAAACCGGCAACGTGTGTAAAAGTCACAACAGTTTCTCATGTAAGAATAAATAAATATATTTTTTTACTTACTCATTTCTGAGAGACCAGTAGATCTACGTATTGTTTTTACAGAATTATTTTGTTTCCTAAGTTTTTAATACTTATTACTTGATTACTTATAAGCAAATGACATTACGTTAGTTAACCCAGACAAATTTTAAATTTAATGTAATTTTTTGTACAATAACTTATAGATTATAAAAAAGTTTAGTATGAGAAAAATTGATAAATACAGACCAAAATCTATTTATTTTACACATTGCCGGTAGACCAACAGGTACTCTATGTAATCCCTAAGATTTGTATATGTTACCGGCAATCTGTATAATCCGATATTCTATACAATACCTAGGCATTTTATAGAATACCTAAAAAGTTTAGGTAATGTATAAAATATTATTAATTTTATACTTTGCCTAGGTATTCTATAAAATACCGAATGCGAAGAAGGCAATGTGTGTAAAAGGCGAGAACAAACGCGCAGCGACTTGTTTTTGCTTGCATTTCATTACGCTGCGTGCGACAAGGGTGGAAGTGTCGTGTGGTTTCGTTAGTGAATCTAATTCATTAAAATGGCGGCCGATAAACGAGTCTCTCAGATGAGAGAAAGATTTTATTCACAGTTGTGTATTAAAAGAAAATCAGCAACTACTAAAAACTGTACGTTTATTGACGATCAACGGTATGAACAATTGTTAGAAGAAATAAAAAATGCAAAAACAGCCAATAAGAAGTTACCCCGGGATTATTGGTTATTGAAGCATTATGATTTTATAACTGTTGGTCAAAAACATAGGTTAATATTTCCTGTGAATACCCCAAATAACAATATTATGTATTATGTTGCTGATAGTGAATTATTCCAAGTACTTCACGAGGCACATCAAAGTATCGGCCATGGCGGTCGAGACCGTATGCTGAACGAGCTTTCTACACGATACAAGAATATAACTCGTCACGATGTTGAACTATATCTGCAACTTTGCGAACCGTGCCAGCAAAAACAAAAAGGAATAAAAAAAGGGATTGTCGTCAAACCCATACTTTCATCTGAATTTAATTCTCGCTGTCAAGTAGATTTGATTGACTATCAATCTCATCCAGATCGAGAATATAAATTTGTAATGGTCTATCAGGAGCATCTCACGAAGTTTGTAATATTAAGAGCACTAAAAACAAAACGCGCAGAGGAAGTAGCTTACAATTTACTGTATATTTTTACATTGATTGGCGCACCAGCGATCCTGACAATGGTAGAGAATTCTCAAACCAAATTGTAAGCAGTCTTAAAACGTACTGGCCAACTTTAAAAATTGTACATGGTAAGCCTAGACATTCCCAAAGTCAGAGGAGTGTCGAACGAGCAAACCAGGACATCGAAAATATGCTAACAACTTGGATGCAAGATAGTGATAGTAATCGTTGGAGTGATGGTCTGCGCTTTGTACAACTCATGAAGAATAAAGCATTCCATTCAGGCATCAAAAGAACATCTTACGAAGCTCTTTTTGGATCTAAAGTAAAAGTTGGTATATCTTTACCTCTCGATGATACTCACAACCTGGAGAGTGAAGAGGATATGAAGAGAAAATATGATTAAGTCATCACCAAATATTCTGATTCTTTCAGAATCTTTAATAGTAGATCGAGTTCGGACACAAAATCAACCTCTAGAGGCTCAACATCAACAAAGCCCCGACATCGAAAGTTCTGAGTCGACTCTGAAGTCGACAGAGGTCGTGGTGATGCTCGCAATATACTAGCTGTAGTCTTACAAAAAACGGATGACGAACTTTATAAAATAGGAACAAAGCAGGGTGTTATAAAGAATAGGTATTCAAAACAGCAATTTACAGTTTGTCGTCAAGAACTACTTAAAAAAGATCTCCCTAATCAAGAAACGACGCTCCGTACAGTTGCGAATCTGCAATCTACGGGGACAGGTCAGGGATTTATTAAATGTAGTTGCAAAAAACACTGTGATACTAAAAAGTGTTCATGTCTTAAAAGTAAGATTTTATGCACTTCAAAGTGTCATAATAGTTCCGCATGTAAGAATAAATAAATATATTTTTTTACTTACTCAATTCTACGTCTTGTTTTTACACAATTATTTTGTTTCCTAAGTTTTTAATACTTATTACTTGATTACTTATAAGCAAATAACATTATGTTAGTGATCCCAGAAAAATTTTAAGTTTAATGTCATTTAATTGTGATTTTACTATAGTTACAGAAAGGTACTAGGTGCCTTTTT